GGTTTAGTATGGCACAAGGCCACAGCTACCTCAGCATACTCAAGAATTAACCAGAGAAATGAGTTATAAGAATTTATAGTACTGAGAAAGTCAGATACAATCCCAGTTAGGTATCCAGTAATGATCAAACTCACTATATTAACAGCCTGGTCTATACGATAAGCTTGCTAAACATTGCACTTCATAAGGCGACCATATACTTACTATTCTTATCTAAGTCTGGTAGACAGCCAATATTTTTGGTGTGCTCAGTGAGAAACACTACACTAGGGAATATTCACCACTCTACAAGCATTGCTCATTCATTCTTTGTAAAAATTGGAACTGCAACTGGTTCTTCTCTTATTGCCAATGATTGAACAATGACGTCATTTGTATATTTTGTTTTATTTTATAATAAAACAAATTAGCAGTTGATTTTTCACAGGTACCCAAAACAGGATTTGCATACATTTAATAAGGATTTGCATACATGCAATAAGGATTTGCATACATGTATAACTCTTATTCTTAAACATGAGAAATATATCATTGCGTGTTAGGTTTAATTTCAAATGCAAAAGATAAACTTAATTTGTTCAAGGTAAGCATCAAATAAAATACAAAAATAGCTTATGTCAAATTTAGCATCTGTGAGTTCACAAAATAATAATAATATTAATATTATTACTATAATACTAGCAATGACACCCACTATTGAACAGGCCCTTTAACCTCATTCTTTTGCACTATACAGTCTTCTCTTTGAAAATGCTATAAAATGGTATTAGAGAAGTTAATTAAATCATTTGAGGTTTAAACATTTAAGTAACCATTTACTTCATATACATCATCTCACAATATTTGCTAAATTTTCAAAATATATTATTAAAAATGTCAACATTGCTTACTTTCCTTTATTCCCAAGCTGTGATCTAAATGCTCAGGTGGTTACCAGGGCAAAAAAAAATGATTATGTGAATAACTCCATAATCTAATTATAAAAGCCATCAAGAAAACAATTACTTATTTATAAAGATCACAGATTTTAAATGAATAACAAAACATATTTATTTTTAAAAATTTGATATTTTTAAGTTGAATATGCAAATTAGTTACCTCCATTGAACAAGTACCACAAAGTTGGGCAATGTAAGTTCAGGGTATTCAAGAAATATGCAGAGACTTTGAGCTTTATATTAATATATATATATATATATAGAGAGAGAGAGATATGTGAAGAATAAGTTTTAATATTATAGGCTGTCTGTTAGAAATAAACAAGTTCCAACTTCACTACTAGAACTAATAAAACACAGTTTAAGGTTTAAAATACCCATTATGAATTTATAAATTTGCTTAGAGAGAAATATGGATTGTTAAACAAAATTTTATTTTTATAAAAAGAATTTAAACTCCAGCATTGAGTTCTAAGTGCCAAATTTTACAAGTTTATTATTTAATGACTGTTCTCCCTTACAGAAAATACTGTCTTTTGTAAATATCTACATAATAAGAAATGACTGCTTGTGGTTTTAAATTTAAAATAAAGGTAATTTTAATATTAAAAAAAGATATGGTAAAAATGAAATTAATGCGAATACAGGTAAATTAAGAAAAAAACATTTTTTTTTCCACACATATTCATCATTTAAAAAATATCTGAACATATCTTAACTATTCATATATTAGTTAATGTTATTATTTATATGACCTGTTTTTCCTGATTGGTCATTAAAATATTAATTATTTGAGCATCAAGGGAGATTACTCTTTTTATTTTATTTATTTTTTATACATTTAAAACAATTTATCTGTTACATATTTTGTTGCTAGGACCAAAGAACCATTAAATTATTATTTTTATTTTATTTTCTTTGCTCCTCTAATGAAATATTCATCGAATTTAAAATGGAAGATATGAGATATATTTTATGTTTGTTTCTTGAAAATATATTTACCCGCCACCTTTAAAAAATACTGCAAATTCTATATTTGGTTACATGTTAATCAACTTTATTTTTGTATGCATATATAATAGTATATAGTGTCTGTAGGTCCATATGTTTTCTAAGTTTAGAGTGGTATTTTTCTAAGGTTAATATTATTTTCCAAAGGTATTTAAAAACAGTTAACATTACTATACAATGATATTTTTTTTCTAACATAAATATAACTTTGCAGTGATATTTTTTCTAAGGTTAATATTACTTTCCAGTAGTACTTAAAACCAGTCAATATTACTATACAATGGTATTCTTTCTAACATACTTTACAGTGGTATTTAAAAAGGTTAATATTACTTTACAGTGGTATTTTTCTAAAATTAATATGACCATACAGTGATTTTTAAAAAGTCATTATTACTTTACATTGAAATTTTTTAAGTTTAATAGTACTTAACATTGGTATTTCAACTGAAAATGTATTAGGAAATACTAGTATTTAAACCTGAGATTGGTAATGTATAAATAAAAAACTCTGAGTTCTCAAATGAAAAAGAAATCAAATTGGTATTTAGTCACACCTCAGTCAACAAAATATTTTTATATTTCATTTGTTCAGTAGATACTATGTAAAAAGTAAAATCTATGTCTATTTTAGATATTTCATTATCAGAAGTTCATAATTAACTGACTTCAAATTACATCTATAAATATTTCTACCTAAGTTAGTCTTTAAATTACATATTAAACAATAAAAGAAATGAAATGTCTTTCTCACCTGTTCTAAATCCAAGTCAGTTATCAATTTATTACATCAGCTAATCACATCTCACATTCACCTGGACATTGTTAGCAGATTATTTAACTGTGAAAATATCATTAAGTATTTGTTGCAATTTTCTGTACACCCTAAAACACTTTTTTGAAGGAGATTTCATTTTCATTTGTTTTAATATAAACTTTATTTTCTGTTATATTAATCTATAAGACAACAGTATGATAATAATAATGCCCTATTATAAACTAATTTCTTTTTAGGTTAATCTTTGCTACTTTCTCCATTTTAGTTTCTGCTTATATAATACTTTTTTTATTAATTTTTATTTTTTAATTGTTCAATCTCTTCATATCTATCCATATATTTCTCTCCGTCCATTCCTATATCATCAGTCTCTTTTGGCCTGTTATAAATTCATATTTATTCAGATATTAATCTATCTCAATTTGTTTATTTCTCTATCCAACTATTTGTATAAATATATATCTATCTATGTTTATCATTTTCTTATCTTATCAATAATATTTTAAAGAACATTTTTCTTTCTTTCTTTTTTTTAATTAGTTGTTACTATTTATCACAACTTGTCTATCCAATTAACTTTTTCTGTTTGGAGAAAGCTTAGATGACATATAAAACTTAACTAATATAAGATAATGAAAATAACTATTGTCTAAGAAGAAGCTGATTTAAATACAACTCTTTACCAAAAGTTCACATGAAATACTATTTGATGTTGATGCCAGGACCCAGGATTGAACTAAGGACCATTAGATATTCAGATTAGCACACTTCTATGTGAGCTGTTTCAGTTGTTGACTGAGAGTTTGGATTCAGTCAATGGACTGAACCCATGCTTCAAATCTTGGAATTTTTCAATAAAAATGTGGTAAAAATAAAATTTTATTTATTTATTTATTTGTTTTTAATTTTCCTGGAATATTAAAACAAAATTTAAATTAAAAAAAAAATTGTCACATAAAAGACAATATCACTTTTGTTTATTGGTTTTGCCATACTAAGGCAAATGTTTCAAATTATGTGAACCCTAACCCTGGGAATAAGCAAACAAGTGTCATACTAATATGCTAAAGTATTGCTGCTGAAACATTCACATAAAATTAGCTTTGAAATAATTAGATTTAAAAATTTTCTTTTAATGTTTGCATTTATGTGAATTAGTTGTTTATATTATTTCAAATAATACTAATGTGTTAAACTCATTTAAAAGAACTAAAAGTAAATTTAGAATTTTTTTTAATTATTATTACATTTTAGCAAAGTAGATAATGCTTTAAAGTTTAAAATTCTATCACCAATTTGGTAATTTTTTATAATTATTAATTTCAGTACTATTGGGATGTTAATTTTACAGAAGAAAAAATAAAAATAGAATGATATCCTTGTGGAAGATTTGAATGAAAAATGTTCAATTGGGAAGGAGAGAGAGTTTGTGAAAGATAAAAAAAATTAACACATAATTCAGACATTAAAATATTTAACTGAAAAATGCAGACAAAGAAAAAAATAATCCTGTAATTTCTGATGGTTTTCGTTACAAAATTTAAAAAATGAATCATATTTCTAATTTTGAGTTATCTGAAGCCATGCATATTATTGAAGGGGCCCAATGTTGTAACATCTGTGGCGAGGGGTTTACGCACCCTGAAAGTTTTGAAGAACACAAATTAACTCATCGTATTGACAAACAGTACAGTTGTAACATTTGTTCAGAAAACTTCCCACATGAAGACCAACTAAAACAGCATCAGATTATGCACATCACCAATAAACCATTTAAATGCAATATTTGTGAGGCAACCTTTGGAAGGAGTGGGGACCTCATTAGACATTTAAGGAGTCACACTGTACCAGGGGTAAAAACTTGTAACTACCAGGCAGGACCCCCTAGTCAAGAAAAGCCCTTACACAATTATCACAATCACTTGCATCATCATTCACATCATCATAGTCAAGTAAGTCATCCATCCTCTGGCCAACAGTTTGAAGAACAATCGTATAAATGTCATGTTTGTGGCTGCATCTTTTCCAGAAATGGGAACCTCGATCGTCATATGCGTATGCACACGAGTTCATCACACAGCCATCATAACAAGCAACATGGAACACACCATCGACATCGCCATCACCACCACCACCGTCACCACCACCACCATCATCAGCAGCATCAACAAACTTCATTGCCAGCTCTGGAAAATAATTACCGGTGTCATGCTTGCAAATGTAATTTTGTACACATGGGTGATGTGAAAAAGCATTTTCATAGTCATGAAGGTATGCAAGCTCATCAACCCGGCAATAATAATCGAGAGCATGGCAACCGCAATGCTCGATCCAATGATGATAAAAACCCATTCAACTGCAAAGTTTGCTGGAAAGCTTTTACAGAATATCCTGATGCGGATACGCATGCACGGATACATGCTGCATTGTTGCCCTTTAAATGCGAGGTGTGTGGGAAAGCGTTCCGTGATACTTGTGCCCGAGAGCGACACCGTCGCATACATCTCAATGAAAAGAACTTTATGTGTGACCTCTGCCACAAGTCATTCTCACAGAAGTCCTCATTGAAGTTGCATGCTCGCACGCACACTGGTGAAAGACCATTTGTGTGTGACATCTGCGGCTTTGCGTTTGCACGTAAGGACCACTTAGAGAGACATCAAAAGACAAACAATGGTGACAGAAAGTTGAGCTGTGTGCCAAAACACCTGCAACAGCCCCAGCCCCCTTTGCAACAACAACCTCTGTCTCCACAACAAGTACTGCAGCAACAATCACAAATTCCTTTACAACAACCACCACAGCAGTCACCACCATCTGAGCAGCTGCATCTACAACTGAATCCAGGTGATGACTGCCCACAAATAAATATCTCACAAACACAGTCCGATCCATCTTTACCTTCCCAATCTCCAATTGCAGACCAGACATCAGAATCATTACCAGCAATACACACTCCAGAACCAGTTCTCGTAGCACAAGCTGAAGCAGAAACCCTTTCATCCGCCCAACAACAACAACAAAAGCAGCAGCAGCAGCAGTTGCCTCCTGAAGAACCTTCAGATATACCTCAATATATGAGCATATGAACTCAACCAACAGTTTTTGCCAGAACAGTCTTTTACAAGAAGTCAAATGATCCTGATGATAACTCAATATTTGCTAATAACTTGCATCCTTTTAGCAGCATGTGCAGAGAAGATAAAAATGATGACAACAGATGGTTACTACAGCTACCAAACAAGAATTTGAGGACTCATTTTGGCAACCATTAACAAAATGCTGGGGGGGCACAAAGTGGAATAGATACGTCCAAAGTACTGAAAAATTTTAGTTCACTGCCAAATTAGCAAATGACTTGCAAAACATATACAGAAGATTTGTGTGACAACTATTTCATTAAACATGAAAATGGACTGAATATTAAAACAGAGTCGCAAAGCACTTATGGATTCCATTTCAAAACTCTAAACGACATGGAAAATATTAAGGACAGAATGTTAAAACGATAATAGAATTACATCAATAAAAAAAGTTTCCAAAATATTTTGTGCAATCAATAGAATTGTATTATTTTTAAAATGAAACTCTAAACAAGACTGAAAGGTTGATAAATCATAAAAAACAATTTAATTAGCCTGGTTATTCTTCACTTGCCAACAAAATGGATATGGCCATTTCTTAATGATATAATGTCAATTGTGAATCAAAGAAAGTTTCCATATTTTAACATTATTCTTATTTTACAAACACCAATTCTTCTGAGGGTGCAAGTTTGGTATGTGTAACAAAACTTCCCAAACAAACAATTTTGTGCAAGTTATTCATACAACAGTGGTTGAGTATTGCAAATTGCCTTTTCAGAAATTGCAAAGTTCAACCCAATTGATTGCCACTGATCCTCCTCATGAAAGCTTATTCATTGTTTTTGACTTTGTTGTGTTAGAACTTGGTAAACAACTCATTGGTTACATGGCTGTTGATTCCATCTCCAAACATGGGGTAATTTCATGGCATTTACGTAGAAACTGAAATCATAGAGAAAACATATACTCAGCTGCCAGTTAGTCATAAGATTCCTTCATTTCTGTGTTCCTTCCGCTAAACTAAAACTCACAAATATCAAAACTGAAAAATACCCTCTTTCTACTAGAAATTGAAATGGTTCATGAACATTTTATGATTGCAACATCTAGAACATTCTCAAATGTTTGAAATCTTTAACAGTTATATATATATATATATATATATATATATATATATATATAGCACCTATCTGAGATATGACATTTTGTATTATATGAAATATAATAAACAATGAATAAAGACAAAAGGAAAACTTATCTTAGCTGATGGGTTTCATCCTCTGATGACACCGTATCAAGGCAAATATAAGAATTTTATTTTGCAACAAGTATTTATACACAGAAATAAACATTTTTAAATTTAAGATTGCTCATGAATATGCATCATGCTAACTGAAAAGTTAAGGTAAATTATGGAGGATGGTAAGAGACATAAATATAAAAATATGGAGGATGCTAAGTGACATAATTTAATATCTAATAAACAAAAGTGAGTAAATGTTGTTATTGAATTTTTTTTTTGTTGAATCTGAGACTAACATTTTGACCTTCCTAGATATCATGTTACATTGAACTAATGATGGATTCAGTTGGAGGTTTACAGAAAATCTACCAACACAAAACATTAAGATAAGTTTTCCTTTTGTCTTTGTTCATATTGTCTTTTTACAGAGATATATTTTTAGTTATGTCTGAATTCTTACTCATAATAAATAATATATACATATATGTGATATACAATATATATATATATATGGATACTGAAGTCAACACAAAAAAATACAGTCTGTTTCATGCTTCAACACAATCTTCAGGTCATGTGCATTGTGTTTTGGCTTGACTATATTATATATATATATATATATATATATATATATATATATATATACACACACACTGTAAAATTCAGGAAATCAATTGAGTCCACTACCTTGGTTTCAACCTTACAGTATCCTCAGGTGATTTTTATCAAATGGCCTCTTAATGTTTTATTTTTTTAAAAAAAAACTAATGAACACTATATTAGTTTTAAAAATAAATAAACAAGCCTTTTGAACCAGAAATTCGAAGTCTTGAATCTTTGTATATATATTAAGAAATTCCTCTTAAGAACATATAAGGGTGGACAAAAAAAAATTTCAATTATCTGCCCCCACTCATACTTTTATAATACCCTTGCTTTTCTTCTCTTCCCCCTCCTTCTTCTTCTTTCTTCATATCCTCCACCTCCCTTTCTATTACACCTAACATCATGCGTTTGTTTATTATTTTGTAAATAATATAGCATTCATTAGTTTTATTTTTAAAAAATAAAGTGTTAAGAAGTCATTTGATAAAAATTGCCTAAAGATACCATAAGATTGAAACCAAAATAGCAGATTCAACTGATTTTTAAACTTAAAAACTCTACATGTTATTTTTACTTTTATTTTATTTTTTTCACACGTGTTTTGACCACTTTTTAATACCACTGTTTCCTGGTATGATTCAACTCTGACCATTAAACATTTATATATATATATATATATATATATATAGGTCAGTGGTGCATTATGGGTAAGCAATGTCTATTGCATTATCTTGATGGTTATTGGGTGAGATGAACAATTATGTTTCAAATTATTCTATAGGCTATTGGGTAAAAATATTATTGGATTCACATACAGTTATTTGTAGATATTTTATAATGTTGTTAATATTTTAACCATTATTTATTATTGAATTGTGTTGGTCTGGGAAGGTGATTAGAGCTATTTTTTCACCCATAATGCACCACTATATAAATAGTTGAGCCAAAACACAATGCACATGACCTGAAGATGAAGCATGAAACACTGTTTGGTGTTGACCTCAGTGTCCATTTTTATTTTCACATATGCTCTATCTCTGATATCAAGCACTTTTAACCATGAACATAGCATACCTAAAAACTATATTTTTATTATATATATAAATATAAAAGTGAACATTGAAGTCAACACTCAGAGGCGACAGGCTGTTTCATGCTAGATGCATTCGTGGCCTGACAATTCGTCCAGCATGAAACAACCTGTCGCCTCTGAGTGTTGACTTCAATGTTCACTTTTATATTTATATTTACATACCTCTATCTCTGATATTGAGCACTTTATCCCATAAATATTGCACACCTAAAAACTATATTTCTTATTTGACGATAAGACAAATTGGGAAAGCTATAAATGCCATACATATACATATATATATATATGTATGTGTATAAATATTCTCTTTTTATCTTATTATCTTCACTTTTGTTTCAAATACTATTATACTTCCTATAATCACACACACATACATTATTATATATATATATATATATATATATATATATATATATATATATATTTATATATTTGATTTCCATTCATTATATAATTAGAAACTTGATTATAGATCTACATTTCTAATTATATAATTATTAAATGTAAATTGATATACTATTTAATGTTGCTTCAATGAAATCCAGAATTTTTTAAAATACCAGCGATAAATAACGGACAGTTCATCACCATTATAAGTAGCTGCAGATTGTACTGAACATGAAAATCAAATCATACTTTTGACATATATATATATATATATATATATATATATAAGGTTAATGCCCACAGTTGGTCAAAACCAATGTTACATATTCTATCTGACCTACTAATTTTTAAAGTTTATATATATATATATATATATATATATATAGAATTTTGAAAAGTTCAGACAGTAGATATTTTGGTAAATGGGTTGAATCAACACCAGGACACCCTGTCAGAGTTGAATTAGACCAGGATACAGTAGTATTAAAAAAGTGCTCAATACACATATTAATTATTTTTATCCTTTAATATGTGTATTGAGCACTTTTTTAATACTACTGTTTCCTGGTCTAATTCAACTCTGACCATTAACACTCATCAATATACATCACATTACCTGAAAACTTCATGTTTTCTCAGTTTCATTTCCAAAGTAATTTTCTAAAGTAATGAATTTTTTTAACTGTTCCTGTCGAAAATACGGACATCCTACCAAAAGGCGTTAAATTCAACCTCTTTGCCACAAACCCTTGGACAATCAACACATGTCTAATCTCTCTCTGTAACATGGAGTGTAATAATACAAAGTAACTTCTTTCACTCATTACATGTACTATGAAATATTTACAACTAAAAATACACCCACCAGTACACATAGAAAGTATATAAATTGTATGAAATTAACATACAATATACCAAGCTTTCTTATAGTTTCATTACGTTTTATTTCTTGTCAAGTATGTTTTTATCTCCATGAACACAAGGCTAATTTCTGCTGCTACAATGTGAGTAACTCCCTCCTAAGTATATTACTTTAAAATTACTTTGTTAATGTTTGGATATAAAACTGAGAAAATATGAACATTTTGAAGAATTTATGGTGAGAAGAATTTTGCTAAAAGATAATATTCAAACTTTGCTTTATCAGCAAGGCTGTTCCATGGCTGAGTCAGTTAAGGCACGTCAGATCTAATGATGGTTTTCTTCTGCCCAGAGGGACACAGGTTCAAATCTTGCTGGAGATTGCATAGTAGAGGAAAATAAATAATTTACACTATTTACATTGTTAAGACTGTTGTCCTCATTTTTGTTGATATATTCACGAGATAAAGACAACAGTCCGAACAATGTAAATAGTGTAAACAATTATGATACCTCATCATACAGACAGATACTGAAAATAAATATACTATATAACAAATAAACAGTGTCTATTCAAAAACAAGTGTCCACTAAAAATAATGCTTAGCCATAAAATATATATATATATATATATATATATATATATATATATATATATATATATATATATATAGGTAAAATGTGAACAAATGGAGTATAATTCACCAGTATATACTCACCAGTAGTTTACCATTGCCCTAGTAGACACATTTGTATTGTTGCAACATAATTGCCATTGTGTAACGATTTTTAACATTTTTTTGTTTTAATATC